CATTAGCTTGGGTGCTCAGATCCATATGTGCATATTCTCAACAATCTAATCGATAGACAAAAGGCCATCCAAAACCATCGAAATGAGCGGAAGGTGATGGATATAATTGTTACAAAAAGGAAACGGAAAACGCCGTTCTTTGTCATTTCTGATTGCTAAACAGCCATGTGATTTAGCTTGTGTGTCTTATCTTGAAGCATTTCACTCCATGTGCATTCCTCGTCATTGGGTTCGCAAACATGCGGACGTGTGGATCCATCGGAGATTAGACATGAAGTCACCGAGTAAACCTGATGGCTGACCGTCACACGGTCTATTCCAGCCCAATCTTGCATGAGCGAACTGGGCACAATGGAGCGAAAACTCAGACGATATACGCAGAACATTTCCTAGCAACCTCAATCGACGCTATAAATTCAGTTTGCTTAGTGGAGTACTCTCATTCCCTAAGGTAAAACGTCTTAATTCATGGTTGCGAACACATTGATGCCACCACACACGAGCTCCCATTGTCAAGAACCGAAAGCGAACTGGCCACGACCCGCTTCCATATTGTAGCACCGCTCGAATGGAGGCATTGTAAACCAAAAAGGAGGCATCTCGACAGCACCACAAGCGGTTCAGATTGGCAAATACGGACTGAGCTTTAGCAATCCGGAGAGAAATGTCCTTCACGCTAATGCCACCAGAAGGCACGCAGCTCCCCTGGTAGACAAGGTCATCCATCAGTACAAGCTGCTTATGTTTACGAGTATGCTCAGGAACAGATGTGTGTCAATTTTGGACCAGCGCTCCAGACTTCGAGGATTTGAAGCACATACCGTAGTGCCTGGTATTGGCTGCAAACCAAGATTTTAGTAACCTTCCAGTGCTTCCAGCTGGGTGTCCTCAGCCGCATAATTGAAGAGGGACAATGACATAGGGTAACTGTCGCACAAGACTATAGATAGCAAAGGATGAAGAATACTTGCCACAAACCTTCACTCAACCGCAACATGGATGTACACCGCGCCTAGGATGGCAGTATACTTTTCTGGGATTCCGTTCCTTAGCAGGTAATGCCGTTGTGCAGGTCGATGAACCGAGTCGAGTGCAGCTGTGACTTCTTGGAAGACAACGATAGTAGACCCCTGGTGTTGGTGTTCTGAGAGTATGTAAAGTGTGAACATTTGATCCACGTGATACTGTGATTCCCGTACCCTGGATAGTCTAGGAAGCAGAATGGATGCTTAGAGGCAACTGAAATGAGACTAATCCATCAGTGATTGGTCCATAAAGCGTAAGTGGGCTTCTTGAAATCCGGGACAATAGCAAACTTATCCTGAGAAGAATCTTTTCTTCATGGCAGGTTTTAGAAGGCTGTGGTCAATTGGCTGATAGCCACTGTACCAACAAACCTGAAATGCTCTGGGGGAAATCCATCTGAACTGGCAATCTTGAATTGTTTCAAGTGTCGAATCGCAAGGTAATGTTCCTTTTGTAAGCGAACCCAGTGAGACGACCCACTGCAGGCAGTTTGGTTCGCAGGAGACGCAAGCCGATGGTGAGGGACAATTGCACTGTGAATGAACAATCTTGTCCCATCGATCCAAATGCCTCAGATATGTATCTCCCGAAGGAGTAATGCGTTACGGAACCCGAAAATAAATCACTGGTGATAAAGAAGCGATTTGGAACGAGTGGGAATTACTCGTAGCCCGTTCCACTAATTGTAACAGAGATTTCCGATTTTTTCGTTATCGCAGTCAACAGAGCAAGCCACTTAATTCGACCTCCAGAACTTAATGGTGACCGATGAGCAAATTCGTTCGCTCATCCCGAGTTTACGTGGCTTTGGGTATGAAGACCGGTGCGAGAAACTAGGACTCTACACCTTGTCCTACCGTCGGGTGCGAGTCGACCTCATTATGACCTACCGAATTCTACATCTCGGTGAGTTCCCCATGTTAAGGCCAATGCTGCACTTACGAGGGCCATGCAGCACACGCGGACACAGATACAAACTTGTTGTGCCGGATATGAAACGTGTTCCCCACCCACTGTGCTTCGAACGGAGAGTGGTAAACATTTGGAATAGTTTGCCCGAACATGTGATTGAGGCAACATCTGTGCAACAGTTCAAAACGTTGTTAGATTTGCATTTTGCCTCTATTCGATTCAGAGAACGACTGCACACTTATGATGACATCAGATTTGTGAATCCTGAAATATCGTAAGTCGAATATTTTAAATATTACATGAGAACGACAATGATATTCAAGGTTGACAACTTTTATAACGTTTTTCGCCATATCTCGAAAGAGTTGTACAGAATCCATTTCTACTTGCTCTATAATACAGTATTCAGTATTCAGTATTTGGATCCCCGGCACGCGTAAATTTGAACAATCTGTGATCAACGGGTTCCAAATGGAAAGTCAACAGTTAACCACCTATAGTTCCATAATAAACGAAACCTCACAATAGAGTGGTGTTGCAAAATTTCTGCTTGCAAAACAAAGGGTGAGCGGTCCATTATTTCGCTGTCTTTCAGCATCGCACCAGTGTACTTAGTCCTTTCGTTTTCCTACTTTATATTAACGATATCATGGTGTTCATAAAATATGGCAGGCCATATTTGTTCGCCGATGACATAAAGATTGTTTATAAATTTCGGCGAGATGAACTCCGTAGTACAATGTTGCTCATTCAAGAAGGCTTCGATTCACTTGATAAATGGATGTTAAAGTTCTCAGCTAGTAAATCATGCATCACGTCACACGGATGTTTCATCTCTGAAGAGTCCGTTAAACCGAACAATGAACGTATCTGTGTGAAACTATCCAACTGTGATCTAGGCATACGATACTCTTCAAACTTTATTTTTCTTCAGAGCAAGCTGAGTATCACATAGCCCGTGCCAAACTATCTTGGCTAACATATGCCATAAAATTTGTACAACCCCTGCCAGAATCGAGCTTTCCAAAATACTTCCTGTCTTGAATTCTGCAGCATCATTTATGGGAACATGCGTATGGGTGACACGAAAGCTTTGGATAACCTGCAAAGATCATTCACTAAGCGCTTGTTCAATAAATCAACCACCTTGTGTTATCAGGAGCGCTACCAGCAGCTTAGGCTCGAGCTCCTTTGTTTGCGACGAGTGAAACATAACCTGATGCTGATACATAACCTCATAAACCTAAACACTCTCCAATCTGCGCACACTTAAATTGCAACATAGCTTCACTTGGAATATACGCAACAGGACCTGTACCGGGACAGTTACCTGATCCAACTTCTCGTCAGATACGCTGTCGTGTGGAATAGTCTACCGGCTGCAATCAGGTCTTGCACAAATACAAGAACATTCCACATACAGCTTAATAAATTCCTGGATCAGAACTCGATAATGACCATGTTTTCATCGGGTAAATCACCACACCAGTTCTTCCAGGATGGACCAATAAATATATAGCCTAAACAGAAATATCAGAAGACACAAGCTGTAAGATGACCTAGTCATTTCGTGCCTATCTCCTCAGTCATGTACAAGGCAACTAACCATTTGAAAACAAGTAAGGTCGGATGCGGTCGATTGGTGGTCAGCGGATGGCCAACTAATACTGGGCACTACCACGGCAGGCTCAATGTTACTGTCAACTGCTTCTGTACGCACAGACACGACCGCTCGCGACTGATTACAATGGCTCCAAGTAACTTGAGTATATGCGGCCTTTGGTTACGCCTGATGACAGTGAATGAGTCATTTGGGTGGACCTGGTGGCCAGTGTTCAGTAGCTGCCTCGTGATGGTCGAAACTTTTCTGCCTCTGGATACACCTGGTTCCATCGTCTGAGATCCCTTTCGCTTGCGCAACCATTTAGGGAAGTGCTCATCGATCCTGACGCCTAGACTTCGGTCAGAGTACCAAATGTAGCTATCCCCATAGCTACAGGCAGGATAGCTTCGGCTATCACGAGACATCTACTGAACACTGGCCACCAGGTCAACTCAAGTGACTCGTTCACTGTCCCCATGCGTAACTGTTGTAATGCTGTACCCGCAATCGACCGGTTGGTTCATGCCTGCTGGTAAATCTGCGCCGTTACGCCTGCTCTGCTTGACGCCTTGGCCAACCCGACAGGAAGGAAAACAGAAGACTCAGCCAACCAGTTATATTAGAACCGTGAACGCTCATATTTGTAGGTCGGTCTCACCAATCCTCTAAACTTCGCCTGGCGGATTTGGCTATCTGTCGTCCTCGTACGCCTACGCCCCACACTTGACTGTCCGCTCCGTCTGGCCAGTTCACCGTCTTGCTCGGGCACGCCAGTCTTCATCCGCCTATCCGGGGCATGACAACATACATGCTGTCTGACGCGCGATTTCATCAGCTTTCGATCAGGCCTTGGCAACACGCTCGCGGGGTCTGTCCCCAGCACGCTTTGTGTCGAAGATGCGCGCGTTGGCAATCAGCATTCTCGCCTACCTGTCAGTAACCAAAGCCTGCACATACTCAAGTTACTTGTAGCCATTTTAATTGATCGCGAGCGGCCGCCTCTGTGTGGGCAGAAGCAGTTGACAATATCATTGGGCCTGCCGTGGTAGTGCCGCAGTAATAGTTGGCCATCAGCTGACCACCAGTCGACCGCATCCGACCTTACTTGTTTTCAAATGGTTAGTTGCCTTGTACATGACTGAGGAGATAGGCACGAAATGACTGGGTCATCTCACAGCTTATGTCTTCTGATATCTCTTTTTAGATTTATGAAGGGAACTTGTTTCAAATATATCAACGATGAGAAAAGATGTTACACAAAACTTAGCAACAACAAGTTATGTGATTACAAATTATTTTGATATCACATACCCCAGAATATATATGTCATGCATAAGCATAATCATTATTGTACCCACGATCTGTCCACATCCAGGGCAGCTTCTCGCACAATCCGGAAATATGCGTATTATTATTATTATAAATAGCAAATTCTGGACTTTATAAAATGTTTACTGACCTCTGGGCTACTACCCAGACCCACTTTGACCAAAACATCCACGGGACCTCCGAGGTAACCGGTCCCAGAGTCAATCATGACGGTTGGGTCTGAGACTCGAGTCCACAGACGGATGGGCTCGGCGCCGTAAGCCTTCATCCCTGCAATCGGCGGTGGAGTGGATCCGGCGATTGGAACGCGCATGATCTTTTTGAGGTAGCTGAGTTCCGGGTGAAAGAAACGAAATGTTTGATCCACTACAGCAGGATACACTCGTAAGTTGATTATCAGACTGCAGATCGTCGCTCCAGTGGAAGATTCGAATCTTATCTGCATCAGAAAGTGAGATCGTCTGAAGTTAAGTTATTCTTTGGACTGTGATTCGTCGGCACAAGAAATACCATGCTGTCCACATGTTTTTACCTAAAGTGCTTGTCATTCATAGTCTGTCTTTCAAAGTACCATTAATTTCAAAGTGCCTAGCTTAGGAGCAGTGCTAGATGAGTGAGAGTTGTACTGCTGACACCGGATTGAAAGCTATTACGAAGGCAGAGGTCTGATTTGTATGGCTATTGTCTTTCGACGCCAAAATTTATAATGATCGTAAATATCGAACTAGACGTTTCTTATATTGTATTACCTTTGATGCGGAATAAAATTGACCACATAATTCGAAAGTACAGTTCTGTTGTTCTCCCTCGATATCGAAGCTAGCTTTGGTGGAGCTTTGCATTATCCCAGATTCAATAAGTACTAAAAAATCGCACTGCAAATTATGTGTATGGAAACTGTGATGTGTCAAGGGTGTTTAACGATTCGCTTGTTTTCGGCCTATCATTACATTACTTTGTTACAGTAGTGTGTTCTTGTTTTCAAACTGGATGAGGCACATCAATTTAGTGACGGCGGTTCGCTCCTTGCCTGGGCCGCAAGACTGTTTTCACAAAAGCTGCCGCATTGCGTAAACCTGCCTAAGCTCTGAATCATGGACGTGTCCAAGGGAAACATTATTCGTTTTCCAACTTTCGCAGGCTGTCACTCGTTATTTTCCAGTACAATATTGAACAGCGAGGTTGAGAATACCATCAACGGTGCCAGATGGATAATCTGGTGAGCACTCCCTTTCCTAAGTCAAGTGCTTTATTCGGGACTGCAGACAGTATTCGGACCAGGTGACAGCCATAGTATTTCTTAGTTTCTCAAAAAGCTCTCATTTGCATCACAACGGCTGTGGCCTAATGTTGATTGTTGATGGTATAGGCAACTAAAGAACGCATGTTTCGAGCGTCGGTGACATGAATTCACGAGTAAACAGCTAGTGTCTATATGCGCGAAAAAGGGCGAAGCGTTCCGAGGGTTTATCCAAGCAAGCGGAAACTCAGCCACCTCTATGTTTGAGCGAGCCCACCTGCCCATCGGCTGTAGGCTTTTCAGAGCGATGTCTACCCGTTACTGGAGCCTCAGTTGACATGCTTGTGTAGTCACAAGCAGCCGCGAAGCCGTGTGAGTCAACGAGACGGGCGAAACGTTCCATAGGGAGGAGCTTCCTGATTTCATCCAAGCCAGCGGAAACCCAACCACCTTTATTTTCGAAAGAGCCCATCTGCACACCGGCTGCAGGCTATTCAGCGCGATGTCCACCAGTTGCTGGAGACTCGTCTGACGCGCCTGTGCTGCGTCCTATGGGCACTAACATCCTCGTGTGCGATAACACAGATGTTGAAGGCCATTGGAGAGTGCAGCGAAGTAAAAAGGAGAAGAAAACTGCCAGCAATCAGCGACGTTGTAACTTTGTGATATTTCACGCGTTTGAGTCGTCAGATGCTAGTCCTCAGGTTCGTTATGACAGCGAAGTGGATTTTCTGAAGCGCCTGATTGATGGGCTTATCGGCGTGAATGAACAAGGGTTGTGGGTGAATCAAATCACCCTTCTTGGAAAGAGTGAGGAGGAGCAATCCCGGCCTCTGCGAGTCAGGTTTGTTGATTCAACGAGTCTGAGGCTGATACTATCCCGCCTCGGTAGGTTAAGAGATCTCAATATCCATATTCATCCCGATTTGGATCCGTTGGATAGATAGAAATTGAGGTCCGTTATTGTGGAGTTGAAGCGGCGGAGTGATAGTAGAGAAACCAATCCGTACATTGTAACTTTTCGGGTAGTTCCACTGGTCCGCGGAGGCCGGATCAACAAATCGATGACGTTTCATGCGCGTCTGCCGGTTCCTACCGCGGCCTGCGCGTAGCCTTCACAAATGTTTGTAGTTTAATGAACAAACGTGACGATGTATTTCACTTAGTTGCCTCACGTCGTGCGGACGTACTAGGACTGGCCTAAACCTGGTTAAATCCTGAGGTCACTACCCAAGAAGTCCAGATCAGTGGCTACTCGTACTTCCGGTGAGACAGACTATCAACCGATCGAGGCGGCGTGCTGTTATACATTCGGTCCTTGCTGTGGGGGATGATGATGATGATGATGATGATGATGATGATGATGATGATGATGATGATGATGATGATGATGATGATGATGATGATGATGATGATGATGATGATGATGATGATGATGATGATGATGATGATGATGATGATGATGATGATGATGATGATGATGATGATGATGATGATGATGATGATGATGATGATGATGAAGATGATGATGAAGATGATGATGGTGATGAAGATGATTGATGGTGATGATGATGCTGATGCTGCTGCTGCTGATGAGGATGGTGATGATGGTGATGATGATGACGGTGATGATGATGAAGATGGTGGTCTACTTCAAAGTAAACTGACGCCTCAATAGAGCCTGCGTGTCACCATCCAGCAACACAGCGGGTGCTCCATATCCTACTTTGATTTTGTACGCCTGCTTTCGTGTAGGTGGACCGATCCGATGAGTTTCGATGGCGTTACAGTAGACGCTTTGGCAATTGAGCAAAATTGTCATTCTGGTTCTACAAAGTTACCGTGCAGCGTAAAAATGCAATTGGTTCGCACGAAACTGTTAGGTGCATAACTTCCGTGTGAGCTTGGAAACCTCCACTTTATTTCAAGGATAGTCCTAACTCTTGATCATTAGTGGCCCTAACTATTCTACTTTACCGCGTAAAAGACACTATTACTGACTGTTGAGATTTTTCGAACTGTGTTTAATCTTCAGAAGGAAGCTAACCTCATTGACCTACTGAAAACGAGAGGGTTGTTGCGAAAAAGGAGCCTTGACGTGGTGCTCCTGGAGGACCTCAATTACTCAGAGCAACCCGGTGGACAATAGAACATTTAGACTCCCCGACTCTCCAATTACTGCCAAGTACGTACATAAGACGTAAAGGGAAGTATGGAATTCATACCGACGAGTATTGGTCGGAGCAAGATCTCACTGTTTTTGTAGGTTCTACTACGTTTAGTAGATAAAGAAGTCAAAGGCTCAAATCCTATTTCGTCACGAGCAGAAACTGTGGAAACTAAGACCTTTCATCGGACGAAATTGTTGTTTGCGAGTTGATGCTATGGTTTGCCAGAATGTGGTCGACCCTAGGTTTGCGTACTTCTTATTGCTGAGAGACGAAAGTCTAGGCATGTCAGAGCAAAAAGTCGGAATAATGCTCAAGGCTGTAAAGCAGCACAACCAACGCGACCACATTGTGTTAGAAAATGTACAGCGAGCATTCACAAAACGCTTATTAGACACTTGATCGAAATTACAATATCTTGAATGTTGTCAGAAACTCAAATTTGATCCCTTTGCATGGAGAACGTAAAGCAAAGCCTAGTCATCTCCCTTAACGTCTTGCACAAGAAAATGCATGTCTCCAACCTTAAAATGGCAATAGTGCATTCACCCGCATAGTCTATACGTCTTACCCGAATACGAATGGAGCATGACCCCGTTATTCTCCACTCATAATTTGTTGACCATGGACCACGGTGAACGAGGATAGTCTGTTTAAATATGCATCCAGTTATCCACCGTCGCGCTCTGGCCTCCACCACGCGGAGCGCACGGTCGGTCTCGGAATACCCTCAAGTTTCACTGCAGATCTACCGATCTCATGCTAAATTAGTCGGTTGTACCGACTGATGTATAACAATGTCATACGGAATGCACCCTGGCTATTTGGGTCTGCCCGTACCTTTGGTTTAGATCATGGGTTACCAAAGTGTTGCCCGCGACGTCAGTACATCCTACAAGCCGACACTATTCGCGTTTGCATGATGAAGTGTATGGAGCACGAGACATTGTGATACATGTTGCATCTGACACAACATGTTGTATAGTCGAAGGCATTAAACCGTTTGAACAACATTGTGAGACAGTTCATGGTTGTTAAATGTAACAGCGTACTCTCAGCCACGTAGAATCTTTTGAACACTGATCTGAGTGCTCATGCATGAAACCCATTCATCCGTGCGCCTTACTGTGTCTCCACAAATCTCACATCCCGGTGCCACGCTTTCCGGTTGTTCAGCTCCCTTGAGGCAATCGTCAGACAAAACACCGCTCGTTAAGTCGCTGTTTATTTACACACCCGTCACTCATAGTGACAGCGATTTGGAAGGAGTTACAAACAGTTTAGACATAATTGTGCTGGGATAATTAGTTGCAGTTCATACAATTTGTTAATGCTAAAAGCATGGAAGTCCCACTAGTATCCAGTACCAGTCTTGCTTTTGCTTTTAATTTGGTGGAAACGCTCCTCTTAAGCGGATCGGCAACCAGTTTCCGATTTACCTCTCACTGTGGCTTCCATAGGACAGCCACAGGACGCCTGCGCCTACAGAGGGACCATGGATGGCTTGCGCTGCACCAACTACAGCTCCAACCATACACCCCATACGCAGTGTAAACCCGAAGGAATAAGGCCGGGAGACATGTGGATGGGAGCCATGTTCCATCAACGGAGGCGGCCCCCACTCCTTCAACGTACACAGCTTCAGCATTTCTGTCCATTTAATTTGGGAATCATACGTATCAAACATACACAAGGCAGCGGATGGGCCGTAGTCCACTCCACACTGAGTGCATAGAGCCACCCTTCGAGCCTAGTACGACCACAAGCACAGTGTACCCCGTCCCCTACAGCAACGACTAACTGCCTTCTAAAGTCCGTAAGGACGAGGTAGTGAGTAATAGACAGGTAGGCACCTTGTCAACATGCACATCAAGCTCCGCCACACCGGGGATGTCAAATAATAGCCAATCACCTGAAAGGATAATATCAAATAAAATAAATCGAATAAAGCATACGGATACGCCGATAAAACTCTTCGCTAAATTGGCATTTGGAATAAATAGGTCATCAACAAAGTAGCGATAAATTCAGGACGTCAACAAAGTGATGTAAATATGCAATGCAAGCGAGAAAAATAACGATGTATCCACCTTTCGTTCAAGCAACGTGTGCACGTAAATATAA